CACAGCCTCCTCCCCCCCCCCGGCTGGCGTTTCTCCCCCGGACACGTTGAACGGGGAGGTGAGGATGACGGCGTGGGCCGACTTTGCTCTGACTCCTCCGAGGGTTCTGCTCCAAACCGCCTCTGGGTCTCTGCCCTCCTGGGTCGATCCTTCCTCCTCTTCCTCCTCTTCTTCCTCCTCTTCCTCTTCCTCGTCTTCCTCCTCCTCCACCGCTCCCAGCCCCCTCTTCCTGCCCCCCCTCCCTGGTCCCGGCGCCACGGCGTGGCGGGCCAGCAGGCAGAGGAGCAGCGGCAGGACGCAGAGCAGCAGCAGGGGCGGCGCTGTGGGGGGGGGGAGAAACGTCCGGTCAGGAACCCAGACTACCCCCAGAACGTCTGGATATCCAACTCCTCCCACATCCAAGTCGGCCATTTTGATTAGGTCACCAATAGAAAATCCTAATTGCTCCTTGGCACTATAGCAATATATATATTGCTATATATAATATATGGCAATATATTCATTTTAAAATAGTGAAGTTAATCTTGCAAACACTGAATTGAACTCTATACATAATATCAAGTTAAAATAGTGTACGTTAAATAGGTTTGTACAATAAGTACAAACAAGTTTAAATATTTATTTCTCACAATTATGAAGGGTGGAGGGTTAGGACATTGTTTGTCTTCCGATTTCGTATAGACAGTGGCAGTTTGATTTCCACCTGAGAAAGCTGCTAGTCACATGACCTAATGACCGACATGGATGTGGGAGGAGTTGGACATCCGACCGAGGCGTCCTGCAGACTGCAGCCAGAGGCTAATCGACCTCCCGGACGTGGGATCAGAGTAGAAAGCCAACGTACCGATCACAGAGACGAGCAGGCAGGTCTGAGACGGGACGGCTCCTGGGGGAGGGGGCACACACACACACACACCGTGGTCACATCAGGGTTTGACCAATGAGAGAGAGACAGAGAGAGAGAGAGAGAGAGAGAGAGAGAGGCCCCTGAACGCACCGGCTGCTGCTGCTCCACTCTGATGTGCGGCTGCAGGTGTCTGGAGGGTGGAGGACGTCCCTAAAGCTTCTGGGGAGAGGAGACATGTGGGTCAGGTCAGGGGAGCTGTGTGTGTCTGTGTGTGTCTGTGTGAGTCTGTGTGAGTCTGTGTGAGTCTGTGTGAGTCTGTGTGAGTCTGTGTGAGTCTGTGTGAGTCTGTGTGAGTCTGTGTGAGTCAGTGTGAGTCGGTGTGAGTCGGTGTGAGTCGGTGTGAGTCTGCTCCTGTGGCGCCACCTGCTGGAGGAACCATCACCCACATCCCCGAGCTAAACACGGAGGATTTCATTACAGGTGAAAGATGAGAGGAAACATTCTTTAACACCGTACCCAGTTTGGTACGGTGTCTTTTTTTAAAGAATTTTTTAAATAGATTCATTGATTCTGACTTTACTCAGAAGTCTCAGTGTGTTGGAAACATGATTGAACCTGAAAACATTTAAAATCAAACTAGTAATTTTTTTTTTTTTTTTTTAGACATTAAAAATAAAAACAGTTCTAACTGTGAGCACATGGGGGTGCTGTTGAGCCCAAACCACGTGGTCAGTCAGAGGAAAACTGCAGCTCTGGACTTCCTGCATCCCCCCCTTAGTAAATCCTATTCTGGGTTTTTGGAAGCTGTGCTGCAGGAAGGATGCCTGGTGGAATTCTTTTTTTTTTTTTTTTTTTAAGTAAAATATCTTTTATGAGACGTAACCCATGGCAACAGGAAAGCTGCTCAAGCTGGAACTGCTGAGTTTTTCAAAGCCCGAAATATCTCTGAGCAAGATTTGTAGAAAAGCAAGGATGCAGAGCAGGGGGGAAAAAAAGAAGTGGCTGTTTCCAGCGTGAAGATGAAAGTCAATAAAAGTTGGAAAGCGTGAGAGCACACGTGCACCGGGGCGTGAGGAGATTGAGGAAGTCTTTGTGGAGGGTTTGAACTCTTTGGAGTCAGTCGCCCCTGGACATAAAAGAGCAAATAAAAGCGGCTGTGGGCAGAAAACGCACCGGTGGACGAGGGCGATGTCTGTGGTTTGGTTCCAGTCTGTGGCCATGAAAAAGGTGCTGAAGAAATAAAAAAATATATATAAAAACGAGATCAATTAACGGAACAAACAAAAGGATTTCAAAGGAGGAAATATGAGATGATTATCCAGTTTGTTTTTAAAGAGGTAAGAAATCAGCTGCTCCCGATAAAGACAGGGAGATGTACCGGGGGAGGCGGGCGGCGTGGGGGGGTCCCCGGTGGGGGGTGCCGGTGTGGGGGACCCGGGGCACGCGGACACGCTCCACACAGGCTGACCCTTCAGGGGCGGGGGGGTCTCACAGGTCACAGCCATCGCTCTGTCCAGCAGCGATCGGCTCTTCAGCTCTGTGGACACGAGATGCTTTTAAAAAAAAAAAAAGCCCCCCCTCCTCACGGTTCCTCCTCTTTTTATCACCGACCCTTCACAGAGGCCAGGAAGGCCTCCTGGTCCGGGCCGCAGGAGCAGTTCCAGGGGTTCCCGTCCAGCCTGATGGCCCTGAGGGCGCCCAGCCCCCCCAGGAGCGGCGGGGGGACCCCGGTCAGCCGGTTCCCGGACAGGTCCAGCTCCAGCAGCCCCCCCTGGGCGGCCAGGCTGCCCGGGTGCAGCTCCCTGAGGCCGTTCCCGCTCAGGTTGAGCTTGGTCAGGCCGGGCAGCCCCTCCAGCGTGGAGCCGGTCAGGACCCGGATGCGGTTCCCCGCCAGGTCCAGCTCCCGGAGGACGGGGGGGCTGCCCAGCCAGCCGGCGCTGACCCGGGACAGAGCGTTGTCCGGCAGGCGGAGCATCTCCAGCCGGACGAAGGAGCCCAGGGCGCCCGGCGCCATCCCCGTGAGGCCGGCGCCGGAGATGACCAGCTCGCTGACCGAGGCCAGGCTGTCGCTGTGCAGGGCGGAGGAGTTCAGTTCCCCCATGTTCTCCTGAAGGAGGAGCAGGGTGGAGAAGCCGGGCTCGAAGTCTGAGGAGAGTGGATAGTTTTGCACACACACAAACATCCCACAGACATCGTTGTACACTTTACATGGAGCCGCTACGATAAAGAGGACCTGAGCTGGACAATATTGAGGGACATCCCGTAAAAATAGCTAATTAACATGTTATTCCAGTTTCAGGCACTGCACCTAAAACTATATTCTACACAGACTCCACCACTTTCACAAATCTGATGATACAAGGACACCGAGTTCTGCGAAAAACTAAAGAAAACTCAGTTTGAGATCCCGGGAGAACAACTGGACTCATTCCAGAGAGGCCTCCTCTCCTCCTTTGCATCTCCGGTAAACATTAGACAGATGGACTGAGACTGTCGGGGTCCTGGTCTTGGATTTTTCTTCCAGATTCTCCTCAGGCCTCATCGCAGACCCCGTTTTCAGCCAGTCCCTCTTCCTGGGTCTCTACGCGCTGGTGAACGGCACCAGAACCATCTCTGACCTCTGACCTTTGAGCGGGACAAAGCCCGTCGGCGACCCCTTTTCGCCCGTTAAAAGACGGAAGGGGGTCAGAAAGCGGAGCGGGTCCTTACTTGACGGGATCTCCCGGCAGACCAGGACTTCTTTCACCTCATTGCAGGAACGGGCGAGGCTGGCCAGGAGCAGGAAGGCGGCCATGACACCTGCGTTGGAGCAGAGGGTTAAAGCGCCCGGGGGGGCCGCTGGGCGGGGGGGGGCAGCGGGGGACCAGCACTCACCGGTCATCTTCATCTTCACGGCGGGCTCTGCAGCCACAGTCGCCCGGCCGGACGCTGTTGTGATCACCTGAAACGCCGAGTGGAGGGAAAAAGAAACACGGTCGCCGCGGCAACCTCGCCATTTCCCATGGATACGGGCCGTTGGGATGTCGCAGGGACGCGGTTCCGGCTGGTCGATGGAGTGTGAGGCCGTTTGCACCAGAGGAGGCCTGGAGATGACTGGACAACTTCAGTTCCCTAAGAAACCCCCCCCACCCCCCCATGCCCTCAGTATTCCAGTGAGAGGATTCTGTTTCCTCTTAAGAAACTTAAAAACATGAGAATGCAAGAAAGAAACACAACGAACTTTTAAAAAGCAAAGTGAGGTGTAGTCGTGTAAGTTAAAGTGTCGTCCGGTGAGCTTGGACAAAGGGGGGGGGGGGGAAGGGGGGGGAACAAAATAAGCCATGACCCAACGGGAACGAAAAAAGTGGGACGTTTTATTCAAATCTGATGCGTTTTCAGTGCGTCCATTTTAAAATAAATAGATGGCATGGGAACCAGATAAAAATCAACATGGATGACAAAGTACACTGGTGGTAACAAAAAAAAGAAAAGGAAAAAAAAACGGTGACCAAATGCCAATACAATCTTATAGTTAACATTAATAATACACAATTAAAAGGTCCTCCGCCCCCCCCCACCCAAAGCGAGCAGCCCCGAAATAAAGACCCCCAAAACGCGGCACGTGACTGACGGGGCCTGGCGTTTTTGGAGACAGCAGTAGTGTGCGTCCAGCAGAGGCCCGCGGCCTCACGGTCAGTGTTCGGACGGTCGGTGGTCCTGTTGGTTTTTTCCATTTTAATTTTTTTTTCCACCTTTCGGAGTATTGGTTGGAATTACTTCCGAGCTTTCGCGCCCGTTTCGAAAACGGTAAAACGTTCAAACAAACAGAGAGTAAAGTGCTCGTGTGCAACACTTCCGGTTGTTTCTGGAGGCCAACAAACGGTTTTCGGACGGGGGGGGGGAGGGGGAAAAAAAGCACTTTGATTCTTAAGAAAAGACGAGAGAGAGAGAAGAGAGACCAGGCGGCAGTGCTCGTCAACACTTTGGAGGAATGTTCTTTAATGCCGATACATGACCAAACCACAGCCGCCGCCCCCCCAGACCCCCGCCCGACAGAAACCCACCTTTAGTGAATATATCAAATACTGTCATTCAAACAGGTTACAGCGCAGGTGGGGGGGGCACCATTCACAACCAGAGTGTGTGAGAGAAGACGTGGGGACAGGCCCATGAGCACACTGGGGGAGATGGGGGGGGGGGGGATGGGGGGGTTACATTGCATGAAAGAAGCCGTCGACAAGTGTCATGAGTGCACCTTTGTGTACAGGACAGTTCAAGAGTGCCCAGTGGAGAAGAGAAGAAGAAGGAGGAGGAAAAAAAATAACAACTAAGCTCTAAACATCAGAGAATTCCCCGTTATGATGAGAACACATAACATCAGCTGTAGCTCCATTCCTTTTAAAAACAAAAAAAGAAGCCAAGACAAAAAGCCCAGTAAAAAGAGGAGCGTTTCTGTACCGAGGCCTTCCCGTCTCTCCGACTAAAACGGACTTAAAAGGACCACTGGGTTTGTTTTTTCTACAACACACACGTCCAGTGCTACACGATTGTTAAAAAGCGGCTGAATAAATAAGACGATAGTACCACGATGCGTGAAAGGCCAACGGGTGTCCGAGGGGGGCCCCACCCCCCCATTGTGACGAGAGAAGAAGAAGACGGTCCAGAGCGGCGGGGGGCCGGCGGGATTCAACGGTCCGTGTGGGAGGAGAGAGTCTGTTGCCCCGCCCCCCCGGTGGAGTTCCCACCCCCCCGTGTCAACATTCATCCAAAAGAAGGGGGTGGGGGGTCAGGCGTTTTCCGGGGGGAGAAAAGACGGAGGGGCGTTGAGCTATCAACAACGACAGTGCTGAACTAATAAATATTTCAGGTATAAAAAACAAAAGAAGAAGAAGAACATTCGCGGAAGATGAGGAGAATGAAAAAGAGCCACATGCTCGCTTCATGGTTGCTTGAAAAAACGGAAGAGCACCGAAAAGAATTACAAAAAAAACCTGCATCGAACTGGCGGAAGAAGCTCAATCGGCTGGCGTTCTTCTTCTTCTGGTTGCAAGCTCCTCCTCAGATCACCTCCGACACACACACTCACAGACACACACACAGACACACACACACTCACACAGGCGTACGCGTCCCTTCCCTTGACTTGGCCCACCTACAGACGCCCACATGTGGCCTGATGTGGACTCTCCTGGACGAGGTGAGTTGTTAAAGGCGGTCCCTTCAGGAAACAAGCAGATGGAGATACGATGACTGTGGGGGGGGGGGCCGCGGGGGCCGCGGGGGCCCCGGGAGCTATTTGCCGCTCTTCTTGGGCGCGGCGCCCCTCTTGGCCTGCCACAGGTGGTTGTGGATGGTCAGGGCGTCCACGCTGACCGACACGGTCTTGGCGGGGATGACGGTGAACTGCTTGCGGTCCGAGCTGTACTTGTACAGCTTGTCGATCATCTTCTTGCTGATGCTCCGGGGGCCGGTGCCCGTCAGCTTCATGATCTCCTCGGTGTCCGGGAAGTAGGAGTAGAGCGCCCGGAACTGGCAGCCGCCGTCACGAAACAGGATCATCAGGTGGTTGGACTCGCACTTTTCCAGCTCCTGGTAAAGAAAAACATACACAAAGAAACCGGGTCAGAAACACAATACCATCAAGCCACTGCTGGGTCGGGAGAACTCAGAGGAGCAGGTAAAAGACGCGTCTCGGCCTTCTTTAGTCGGACCGTGACTCGTCAGGGACTCACCTCGAGGATCTGGTTCTTTTGGGGCTCGTTGACTTTGCCTGCCAGGCAGCAGTGAGAAATCGCGTTATGGATGATCGGCTTGTTTGACTTGGCGCTGGGCTCTTTGAAGAGCTTGGGACCTTTAAAAAATAAATAAATAAGTAAAAGCCAAGTTGCAACGCATGAGTCAACATGCAAATGTCATGTGATCAAAGAGCTGCCCTGTCTTTCAGATGGCATGCTGTACCGGATTACAAACAGATCAATATATATATATATATATATATATATATATAAAAACACGCACACACACACATACACACACGATTTTAGCTGGCTGGAATTTTAAGTTTGTTTTGATTTTGTTTAACTAAAGAAGCTTTAGCCTCCTGATCTGAATATCAGAGATCAGTGAACTTTCCATCTGATAACAGGTATTTTCACCCCATTCCATATGATAGCAAATCAGAAAAAAATCTCCTTCACTAACAACTTGGTCTTTTCCTGTTCATATCTTCTAATTGCTAATGAAAGTGGAGTCGGTGGAGTGGGCCCACTGACCCGTGTATTCGGCCATGGAGGTGATGGAGGAGGCCGTGGAGCCGTTGTCCCAGTCTCTCTCTGCCGCCCGGCTGTTGTTACGGCTGCCCGGAAATGACTCCACGGAGTCACAGCTGCAGATGAGAACAACAAAAACGGTTCAGCCAAAGCGGGACAGGCACCTCCTCCGTTGATCAAAAGAAGCAGCCGGCGCTCAGGGAAAGGACCGGCGACTGACCGCTGGGAGCCGGCCCCCCCGGAGTGGACGCTGTCGGCCTCGTTCGTGGCTGCGGACGCCAGCGACAGACTGGAGCCCGACTGGGCGTTGCTCAGGTTGTCAGCTGTGGAAAAAAACAAAAAAAAACAGAAGCCATATAAAGGTGTGCAGCAGGTGAGGTCAGAGGGAAGCCGAACTGCGGTGTGGGCCTGAGTGTTCTCACGTGTGGACGGGCATTTGGAGAAGTGATCGCTGGAGGACTCCTCCCGTACGACGGTCTTGGGCCTGTGTTTCTGCTTGGGCGTTTTGGGCGTCTTGGGCTTGGCCAGGCCTTGCTCCTCGAAGATCTCCTGCTGCTTCCTCCTCAGGTACTCCTGCTTGATCAGCTCCCGCCGCGTCTTCTCCTCTTCCTTGCGCAAGCGATCCTCCTCGGCCTTCCGCCTGGAAGGGGAAACCAGACACGCAGCTTTTAGCGCTTCTCTTTCCACGGAGACTCGGTCCCGGTGAGGCTCTGTGGCGGCGGGGCCTTCTCACCTGGCCTCGTCTCGTTTCAGCTCCGACTCGGCCTCCAGCTGCTGCTTTCGGACTCGGGCCTCCTCTGCTTTCTTCTGCTGCTTCAGCAGGAAGGCGGCCCTCTTCTTAGCGAGCTCATCCTCCGCTTTCTGCTCGTCCTAAAAGGTGGACAAGTTCACCCCATGGCACAGTTATCGCTTATGTAACAACAATGTAAAATAGCTTTTAGAAAAAAAGACAACCAATGTTAGCAGCTCTGGTGAAATTAGTCATAACCATTAAGAGTTCTTCAAATTCTCAACAACAGAAATAAGACAGAAAGGTCTAATCGAGAGGCGGTACCTTAAAGAAGAAGCCCATGACCGACTTCTGCTCTCCGTCGCCCCCCTCTGATGCCTGGTCCTCGGCTAGCTCCTCCTCCTCCTCGCGGGCCCTCAGGTCCGACAGGTCCACCTCTATCAGGTGGGCTTTGCTGCGCTGCACCTCCTCCGATGCGGCGCTCTCTCTCCCGGAGGCGTCTGAGGGGCGGGGCTCCGCCTCTCCCGGGCTGCTGGGCAGGCACTGGTCGAAGGGCACTTCGGGCGGGGCCACCGCGGTCGGGTCCACCCGCGTGGGCAGGCGCAGGTTGGCCTCGTCGTGCAGCCGGTAGGCGGCGCTGCAGGCGTGGCCGGAGCCCGGCCAGTCTGCGGGCTCTCCGGCCGCGGGGTTCCGGGGGCCGTCGGGCTGCTCGGCCCTGGGGGTCCTGCCCCCGGCCGGCTGCCTCGGGCTGGGCAGCGCCTCCGGCTGGGTGGGGGTGACGCTCCGGGAGGCCTGCCGGCTCTGCTCTTTGGCCAGCTTCAGCTCGGAGGGCTTGGAGCGGGAGCTCCGGCCTGAGCTGAGCTTGGGGGGCCTCCGGGTCGGGGCGGCGGACGCGAGGTGCTCCACGAAGTGAAAGGCGGCCCCCGTCTTTGGGTCGGCGCTCTTCTCGGCGGCGTGGGGGGGCGGTGCGGCGGCGGGCGGGGGCTGCACGTTCTGCTTCATGAGCAGCTCCTGCTGCAGCGACAGCTGCATCATCTGCTGCTGGATGCTGCCGATGGCCTCGTTCAGGAGCTCGATGGAGCGGCTGCACTCGTTCAGGTCCAGCTCCTCCTCCAGATAGAAGCTCCCGTTGCTCCCCTTCTTGTCTGCTTCTAAGGCACCGGGGGGAGGGGGGGCATCCTCCGTCTGCTTCTCCCCTCTCAGGGCCTCGACGCAGGTGTCGTCTTTGCTGGACGGCGCCCGCTGGCCGTTGAGCTCGTCTTTGGAGATGTCGGCTTTGAGCGGGTTGGGCAGCGTGTCGCTCCTCCCGCCGCCTTTCTTTACTATGTGCAAAAAGGCCGCCTTGCCCAGCTTCTGCCGTTGCCGGGCCGACAGCGCCTCCATCTTCTTCTTCTGGTGCTCGATGGCCCGCCGCTTCTCCTCCAGCTGCATGCGGAGCTGCACGATCTCGGAGGCCAGCACGTTCACGCCGCCGCCGTCCCCAGCGCGGTGGCAGCCGCCCAGCGGCGAGGAGGGGCTCTGGTCCCGCTTCAGCCTCCAGGAGGAGGCCAGCGGCCCGCTGCTCTCCGAGCCGTCGGGGGTGGTCCTCTGGGAGCTGGAGGCGCTGGAGCGCAGGTCGTGGTTGCTGCCGAAGCGCTGCTGCTGGGCTTTGCGCTCGGCGAAGGAGGTCATGCGCACGCTGCCGCTGGCCAGGCTGCTGGCCTGCGAGTGCGTGCTGAGGCAGGGGCTGGAGCGCCCGCTGCCCCCGTTCAGGTCCTTGTCCTCGTGCTCTTTCACATTCATGTCCTCTCTGAGCTTGGCCGACTCCTCCTCCTCCTCGTAGGCCTTCCCGGTGGGGTAGGTGGGGTCTTTCGTGGTGAGGGCTTCATCCAGATCCTCTTCCTCTTCCTCCTCCAGCTCGGCCTCGGGGCCCTGGGCACACTGCGGCTCCTCGGAGTCCGAGTGAAGGTAGAAACCCTCCCCGGGCTCCCTGCGGGGGGGGTCGGCGCTGCTGGTGGCTGGGGGGCGGAGGGAGGCCTCCTCCGAGGGCTCGTCCTCCTCCTCCGGAGCTGTAAACGTCTGATTCAGACTAGAGGGGGCTTTCCTGCGGACGGCCGCCGCGGACCCGTCCCCTCGGCGTAGCGAGCCCCTCCCCGCGGGCCGGCTCGCCTCCCCGCTCTCCTCCTCCTTGTTCAGGCAGACGGACTTCTCTTTGGCCGTTTTGAGCACGGCAGGCATCAGCGGTTCTAAGTAAAAGCTATCTGGTTTGGCTCCGCCCGGGGCCGGGGCCTGCGCCCCGTCCGCCCGCTTGGGGGCGGCGGCGCCGTCGGTCCGGGCCGCGGCCGCCAGGGTCTCCTCCTCGTCGTCCATGTTGACGTTGCCGAGCAGGCTGTGGCCGTTGAGCCGGCGCAGGGCGGCGTGCGGCGGCTGGTGTTTGGGGGTGACGTTGATGACGTTGGACGCCAGGCTGTCCTTGCTGATGGAGCGCGCCAGACTCACGCTGTCCCCGGACGCCAGGTCTGCGTCGCTGTCTGTGGCCGAGTGGAGCATGAAGGGGCCCAGGGTGGAGAGCGGCCTGCCGGAAAAACACACGGAGCCTTATGAGGCACGGAGCACTGAGACGGGGCACCGGACAACTAGTGCCACTACAACCAAAGGTTGGTCTTAAAGTGAGGCATATTAAATTATTTAATATTTATTATTATGTATATTATATATTTTTATATTGAATTATATTATTATATATTATATAATATTAATTATTATAATGCATTATAATCGTATTGAAGTAGTCTTCAATGGTTTTTTTTTTTTTTAAAGGCCTAAAATTGTGAGTTGACACATTTTTCTCAAAGGAAATTAAGGGTTTACACAAAAAGTTACATCTTCCGCAACTGAAAGCAAAAACACCAAAAGAAGGACAATCGGAAAGGCATCAAAAAGGAATATGGGAGGAGTTAGAGAGAGTTAAATAAACAATGAAAAATAATTTGATGGTAACAACATTTGTCTCTGGCTAACTGGTGGTGTCTGACACTAAGCCTAAGCGGGCATCTTACCGGTTTGTCTCACGCATTACACGACTACTCAGAGAAGGATTTTGAGCATAGAGAACTGCCTTTGTTGTCATGTTTTCAGGTACCTTTGCCTCTTGTCGGGCCACGCAACGACGGAGCCTCTGCACTGTTGTCCGTCCGTCTGAGTCAGCGAGTTTGAACGGTTCCTCAGGCCTGCGGCAAAAAGGAAAAACGAGCGCGGCTCAAATCTCTTGAATGTCTTTTCGCTGAAAGACACACGGACGTGTCTGTACCTGTACCGTCCTCTCCCTGCTGCTTTTGTTGCCTCTGTCTTAGGGGCAGGAGCGGGTGTGAGGGGCTGAAGGTCGGACCCCCCTTACTGGGAGCAAACAGAAACAATCAGAAACTAATGGGAGACCAGTTTGCAGAGAAATGTGGCTGCAAGCGAGCGAGCTGTGAGACAAAGGGGTGAGAACCGGCTTAACATATAGAGAGGCGGGTTACAGGCGCAGAGCACGAGGACAGAAACCGCACAGAGCCGCGTATCTACCCGTCCCTGTAGCTCTACTGAAATCAGGATGAGGGGGAACGAGAAGGAGAGTGCGAAAAAGACTTACAGGGGCTCAGAGTCTTCATGGTGCAGGAAGTACCTGTTACAGACTTCTGGGCTGCTCTGGTTATCGGCCGCGCCGGGACTGGCCAGGAAGCTGCGCTTGGTGGCGTTGGATATGGGCACTGATGGGCGGGCACTCTTGGGATGAGCTATGGCTCGAGCTGATGGAGGGAGGAGGAGGAGCAGAGACGTAGATTGTTTAACACCTAAAGCGGAAGCTTTGTGCTTCCCGACATCGTAATACTTGCCATCTTTGAACTCTTGGAGATCTCTGGGCTGGACAAACTCCGGCTTGACCGTCTCGAACCACCAGAAAAGTTCAGCGATGAACACCATCACGTTGTGCTGCGCAAGGAACAAACAGAGCTTTACAAACGCTCCACTGTGACAGGTGAAGTTTCTTGGGAACATCTGCCGGCGTTTGCACCTTGAGCACCAGCGGCGAGTACAGCATGTCCTCCGTGGTCAGGTAGCAGCTTCTGTTCAGGTATTCGCCGGCAAACTCTCTGAGCAGCTGGATGTTGTACAGGCTGTCGGCTATGGAGGGGACTTCCTTCAGGCAAATATCTGATCAGACGGGCAGAGAACGGGTCAGATCAGGATACGGCTCAATGACCTGGTAGCTAAAAATGTTGCACTGAGCGGACTGGAACCATAAGCTATGTTCCAGAAACAAAAATAGCCTCGCACGTGGATGTTATATTCAGTGACTTATCGGGGAGGGGAGGTGGAGTGCTTGTCACAGGAAAATGATTCTTAGTGGGCAGCTGATAATTAGCGATCTGAAGGCGGGTGTGTTTGTGCGAGCGGCGTCGTACCCTCCAGCTTCATGATGTCGGGGCAGTAGTAATGGACTATGGTGAGCAGGGCCGCTCCGTCGCAAACATCCCTCATCAGGTCCTCCAGCAGAGGGAAGAAGGGCAGCTGGCGGCCTGAGGCGTGCTCCCGGCGATACCGTACCTAACCAGCAGGGGGGGTGGTCAGCGTTTATTCAACAAAAAAAAAAAAAAGGTTCTCCCACAAAAGGCTGTAATCTGTAAATCTCTTACACTGAGATTCACATCTGAATGGATGTGTCTTTTCCAGCCGAGTTAAGTAGGCTCGGGGTCAGCAGGGCTCCCCCCCAGAAAGGGGGTTATTCTGTTAAAATAGGTCTAAACTGATCAGCAGCCAGTTTAACTTACCTTTCCAAACAAGCTACTGCTGAGTGAACATCCCCCCCCCCCCCCCCCCCCCCCCCCCCCCCCACGACAAGCCCTTTGAGGGAGAACCCTGCAGCCCTGGCAACCGGTGAGGAGATGGAGGTGAGCGAGTTACAGCAGTGACATGAGGGGGCAGAGGAGGGCCGGCCCCCCTCCAGGAAGGCGGCCAGTGATCAAACCCAGTTATACTCCGAGCCCTCTGAAACCAGCTGACTGTGATGGAAACTGGGGTAATCATTGGCCCACTTATTCACATGAGTGTATGTTTAGCAGCGCAACTCACTGATGAGTGTCGGCTATGTGCTCCAAACAGCTGATAGGAAGAGGCTTTTTCCAGTAAAGAGAAGGAAACTAAAATAATAAGAGGCCAAACACGACTCAACAAGTATGAACACTCTATGAACACTCTATCATTAATAGAAAAAACTAAAAGGATTAGACAAAGGATTTAACCTTAAAATGTTTCTACAAGGCTCAGAGATATTTCAATCAGCCCAAATCCTCTTGGCGTGATGAGTCTGATATCAAAGTCAAATATTAAAAATACAAATAAAAAAATCTACTATATAAATGCTGAGCAAATCAAGAAAGCACAACAAAACTGAAACATTCAATTGTGTGATTAGAATCCATTAGAATCCAGCATGGATCAATAAAACAGAACAAAACCTCACAAGCCCTAACCTTTACTGATAACTTAACACCGGGCTTAGAATGGCAAACTAAATATTTCGAAAGGTTTAGCTTGAAAACCCATCGGAAAACAATGGGCTGGCAGAATATTAATGAAGACCGTGATTATCAGATTTTTCACTACCACAGCCAGAAGTAAAAAGTCAATACTGCAATAACATCTGAACCAACAACAGTAAACAAACGACAGCAAACACGTGTGCCTGCTATAACATGTATATAGATATATATCAGAAGGTATAGAGTAGGTGACAGAAAGAACTTTGAGGTGGAATGAAAGCGTGAGAGCTAGATCTCCGGTCAGGTTCAGCATTAAGCTAGTCTTCCCCCGACTACACTTCAGAAAACCCCTGTGAGTTCAGCATGCAGTGGGCCAGCTGTGCTGCCACATCAGGCCGACACAGGGCAGGTGTGCCGTCAGGGGAGACCGGGGGGGGGGGGGGGGCGGGGGTAAGAGAGCGACTGGAAGGGGGGGAGAATGACAGAGCAGATCGGTGAGGATGTGGTCAGCGACAGGGCTGCTAAGCATAAGAGAGGCAGGAGTTTTATCCTCACCGGGCGAGCAGATGCCACACACACGTACGCACAGAGTCTACGTGGCCTACTTGAGCTTGAAATGAAGCAGCACACAGAGCACAGCTGAGGAAATGTCTTTACTTAGCCACTTCACAAAGGCTGGAAAACCTGCAACCCGTGCGAAAGGAGAGAGAAAAAGGAAGAACAAAAGGTCTGCCTTCTTCCCCTGGCTAAAACGCCGGGCACAAGCAAAACAAAATGAGCCTGAATGAGCTATGGTGAAGTGTGCCGCACATCAACACAAAACTAGGCGTGCAAGGGAGATCGGGGGGGGAGGAGGAAGATGGCTGTACGGGAGCTGACATCCAACTTACAGGGACTAGCTTCCAATACCATTTGGAGGGAGACTATCCAGTTTGCAAGGATAAGAGGGGGAGGGAGGGACAGATGAGGAACAGGAGTAGAAAGATCAACAGGTCAGAGGTCACAAAGAAACAAAATAGGGTCAGATGTGCTTCCAGAGTAGACAGAAACAGGAGGGTCAGAGCTTCACAATGCAATCAGGAAGGAACATTTCTCATAGTAACTTGGATGGTTTTTACTTAAAACAAGCTTTCGTTTGACCCTGTTGGATGCATGACACCGATAACTGAAGCTTTTTGGAAGTCGCGCTGAGTGGCTTTACCTTTTGGTGGCTCGGGGACTCCAGGGGGTGGTGCTTGACCTTGTTTTCCCTTTCTGTGATCTCCCTCATTTTCATGTTCACCTGGGCAGAAACGGGAGAGAATCAGTATTTTTCTGGATGGATTTGACTCAAATCTGACTCAAATTCCCTAATCATAGTTTGCCATGCTTAGTTAATACATGTATAACAGATGCTGCTCGGTTACTAGCTCCTATCTTTCACTGATTAGAATTTATTAGGGGAAATAAATCCATTAAAAATCAACAACAAAATAATCAGCTAAATTGGATTATTAAAGTCCAACTGAAAATATATAACATAAACTATTCAATACTATGACAGAACAGAACACAGCATGAATGTAATATCATATTTGAGGATTATTCCTTATATTTTTCCTAATATAAACTGTACAAACTGACCAACTAAATAAAGACGGTGCTGTGCTGTCACCTCTAATGTGACAGTGATCGATGGTCCCTTTGCTGCTCAGGGGGAGCACACAATCACAAGCTGCGTTTTAGAGAATTAGAAAGACTAAAAGCTCCTGTGGTATGTGTGTGTGTGTGTGTGTGTGTGTGTGTGTGTGTCAGAACCTTGTTAATCCAGAAGACCATAGCATCCTCGAGGTCAAAGGGCAGCTCCTTAGAGGCACTGAAGGTAGAGAAGCGCTTGACGGAAGCCACCACTTTCTCAATGCTTATCATCTCCACGGTGTAGGCCATCATCAGGGCATCAATCATGGGTATGTGAGCGCTCTGCGTGGTACAGAAAGAGAGACCCGGGGCAGAGAATGTCAAAAGCTGGATGTAAAAGAGCAGACAGAGCCTTAGCTCAAAGGAACTGAATACTACAGCGTTTGTCAGACTGATATTTTCAGGGCAGCGTGTGCTACATCCGGGCCTCGGCAGGTCAACTACAGTTCACTCAGGGGTTTAAGTGATTTAGGTGTTTTATTTCCAAATAATTTCCCAACCTATTTTCAAAATGATAGTATTCATTCTAACCAATGCAGACCAATACAAATATTCCACATCTGCAGGTACTGCTAGTTAGTGACCGCTGGGTTTGGGTGCTTAACGGTCACTGTGGGGTAAACTGTTGGGAATTATAGGATAAGGTTTCAGTGTCATGCAGAGTTCAAACAGGACAATCCTGTTGATGTTAAATAACCACAAATCTGTGAATAACCGACGTGGCTTAATCAAAGATGAATCTCCCTTTCAGCTCAGTAGGTGTCCAGTGTTAAATAGGCTCTCTGGGTTATCGGGCAATCAAAAGGCCCAGCATGGGGCACGGCGAATCCGAGTGGCTGCCATGTCATAAATCTTATCGAAAATGAGCATATCCTCTGTTGAACCTCACTAAAACAATACTGAACAAATGAATGAATGTGCACACTTTGTTTGTATCAGTGCTTTCTGTGACGAGCGGCCAGCCTAATCCAATTGGTGATGGTGGTGCGCAGAGATTAGCCTCCTTAGCCTAATGAATGAGAGCTATTCAGAGCTCAGCATGGCCTACCTAGACTAAATCAACAGAAAAAATTAATGTCTTTGTATTAGAAAAAGATAAAAAGTTTGTTCAACAAAGTGGAGATGAGGAGTTGTGAAGCTGGACTCTCAGTTTCCACAGTTTCAACTTCGTACTATATGAAGAAAAGTAATTAGGACTTGTATTTAATCTCCATAAAAATGTATTTCACATCCCACATGTATTCCACACTGATTTGGTATTTGTACAGATGTACAACGTGCTGCTTTTAACACTTCAGTACCAGGAAAATGGTGCTCAACAATAAGCATCTTTTGTTCTCAGTCTGCCCTTCATCTGCACATCAGCTAACCCCACAGGAGGCGTGATGCCCAGGGCTCTGTGTGCACACGCAAACGCACAAAACAACCACAGCTGACTCCAGACTCTGAGGTTATCCCTCGATGTTTCCCCGAGTCAGACAGAGTGCGGAGGGGCTGTCTGTAAGCGGAGGATCCCTCTCATTCACAGACGCATAATCTTAGTGGGGAAAATGCAGGTTACTATGGAAACGCTTCGTCGAGTCAGCAAACCGGTAAGAAGGTTTGGTTGGTCTATCAGGGATAAGCGTGAGTCCCCATCCCCTCACTGTGCTTTGTGTCTGGCTGCCTCCATCCGGGACTGTGTGGATTATTTCATCAGGCCTCCAGCAGGAAAAAAGCAGACATCCCCTGTTTAAGAGCAGGCCTGCGGCTGGTTACCACGGTAACGAAAGGAAGATGGCTAGCGTTGATCCTGTCCTGGGTGAAGATTGTAAAAATACACAACCACCTGCAAATATCCAGGGTGGCAGACTCATCAAGTTCCCCTCATTTAGTCAAACGAAATGGGGATTTTTCTTTTCCATTTCCAGTGTTCAGGTTTTAGAGACAATAAAAAAACATTAAAGCTGAGTGCAGAAGCAACTGATTTCTACTATAAAGACTTAAATGACCAAGGCACTTTATTTCATAATGGACTTCAAAACCCAGCATTGGGATCACAGCTTTTAACTTCTTCAAAGCAGAGCTGCATTTCTCTCATCTCTGACACCGATGAGGTTTCAATAGCCTTCATTAAAAATGTCAGGGGGAAGAAAACAGCAGAAGACTCGCTTAGCACCAAATCATAAAACACCTACTGGCTTACAAACGTAAAGCGATGAGCTAGAGGATATCAGATAGTGAGCACGCAGACACCAATAGACTCAGTAACAGTACAAATCTCCTGTAGAGCAACGCAGTGAAACACAATCTGACTACATAACAAGCGCAACAACAGAGCAACAACAACAGTTGCTGCTCTGTGTCATAAATGATTTGCAGTATATGCAGTTATCGTGAAATCTATTCTTTTCCCACCGGTTTCCAACACAAAACACAGGAAGGAAACTTCCTGAGATAACTCTGGATAAAAGATCAGCCGTGATGTTAAAAAGAAGCACGAGTTCAGTCTTGTTAAAAACCTCAAAGACGGCCGAAAAACAACACTCCCAGAGCAGAAGAATGTTAACATCTATGTTCTTCATCCAGCCCGAAACTGCAACGTGACTCCTCACACTATTTGCATGTCACTCAAATTCTGGCTTGTTATTTAAATAGAAGGTACAGTGGAGCCAAATCAGCTGCTCCACTAAGCCGATCAGCAAATAATTACCAAAACTCTGCTGAAAAACTTTGCATGCAAACGTTGCAAAGTTTCCACACAGCAAAGAAACGGCTGAGGTTTCACGTCAATCCACAAGCGGAGCACAGTAAACACAGCAAACGTGTCTGAGAAGCCGTCTGGGCCTGGTGGCCCTGCGTGATAAGGACAGAGCCACTCGCCTCCGCTGATTTCACAACGGTGAGATAACGGCAGAGTGGCGGGACGAGCTGCCCATGTTACAGCTCCATTTCCTTCTTCCCTGACTGGCGACAACGCTCGGCCAAAATTTGACTGTCGGCAACGATTGCCTGACGCCTAACGGGAATTTTGAGGTTGTTTCATCAGGAGTTTCGGGGCATGTTCATCCCACCTTTAGGCACATCCACTTACCATTTTGATGGGCATGCAGGCCAGGTCCCCCTCAGTGACGGGCGTGTCGTCACTCTCCACCACGTAAATGCCCTTCCTGGACAGAGCCTGGATGACGGACAGGTGGGACTGGAGGGACGCCGCCTGCTCCGTCTTGAGGATGAGGGCGCACACGCGGCAGTAGAGCTCACAGGACAGCAGCAGGCGAATGACGGGCGGCTTTATGTGTTCTTGGTCATACTGGTCAGTGTAGAAGGGGTCCCGTAAGTCCTCTGGGATGTGGTCTGCAAGGGGAGATGGGTTAGGGGGGAAACCGTGTGGCTGTGAGATGAGGTACAGGTTCAATTGAGAGCTCTATATTTGGGCTGTACCACAGCTTCAGTTTAGTTTGGGTGAACATAAGTGTTTGGAATTATTATCCCTGCATATAGCCTCGGGAGCAAACTGGGCCGCAGATCTCTGCCAATGCTAGCCCTCGCTGAGACAAAGCCTCTTGGATTTTGCCCACACTGACCTGAAAAATCTGGCCCCGACAGAACGAGCTGAAAACAGGGACCTAGAGAGGTGCTTCCGTTGCTTCGGAGGTGAAGTCATTCTCAAAACCAAAGCTCGCAGCCATATAAGGGCATGGAGCCACAGCTCCCTGCTGAGGAAAACACAACACGAATCCACATAGAGACCTTAAGCAGGCCTGCGATCGTCCATAAAAACTCCCGGACAGTCTGCACTGAACAAGATGGAGGGATGATGGAAATAAGTCTTTTTTCTGTTCAATCTATAACGACTGCCTGAGCGTCAGTGACACAGTGAGAGCTGCCTGAGTGTCTGGCAGGTAGTCTTAGGCTCTGCACTGTCTTTAAGGATAAAGGGAGCATCTTGTCAGCAGACCGGTGTTCCCCTGGTCTGAAGAGCACTACCTAGGTTTGGCAATTATGCCCAAAAATATGCCGCAGTACAACGGAGTCTAAAAATTCGACCTAGTGGACGTGTCCCAATGTAACACGGGGCTGTTCGTCCTGGAAAGTCCTGGAAAGTCCTGGAAAGCCGTGTGAGTCTCTAGTTATTCTGTGGACCATCACAGAGGCGGGTTCAGCTTCATGGCCCTCGGTCAGTATTGATTTGAAGGCAGAGCTCCCACGGGCAGAGCGGGGGTCTCCGTCTGCTTTCCGCTAGTGCTTCGCAAACACACGTTTTGATTCCACTTGGGAGCAGTTTCATAAACATGCAGAACAACCGGAGCTACTGGCTGCTCTCAGCTGCAGAGATCTGCACTGAGAAGGAGTGAACTGAAGAGTGCAGGTGCTGGTGGCATTTTTATGAAATCTGTTGTTGCAGGCCTCTCCTGGCTCGGACCACCTAAACCCAGCACTGTCGAGCATTGTCTGCAAATCCAAAACAGGAAATGTTTGTCGTCACGTGTTAGGCTGCTTCATTTCTAACAAATTCTACTTTGTTTGGGTAGTTTGTATGAAGCAAACTGTTGCCCCTCTCTTTTCTTCTTTGTGTCTACCCCTCCCTGTGCAGTGTGCAGTGATGCTACTCAGAGCACTTACGGGCCTTTGGTTTGATGCATCAAATCAGCCGGCTAATGCACAGAAGTTCGTTGTGAGAATGGATCAGATACATGTCAGTGTCCATCTTAAAACAATCAGCCCTCTTGCCCTTATAACGGGGCTGCTGGGGATCGGTCGAGCTTTATTTTTTTCCTGTATTCCGCACACATCATTTAACAACAGACTCTCTCAGCTGCTGTTTGTCCCCATGCACATGGGAGAAATGACAGTGTTGTCCTCCAACATCAATTCATTATGGATAGCCTTACATAAAATCAGCTGGGTTAGTTGCCGGAAACCAATGTGTGTGTGTGTTTGTGTGTGTGTGAACACTTTAGGGCAGCAGCTGGATCTGTGTTATGAAAACAAAGGGGTTGCTGGCGAGTCGCGTCTTCACGTTTGACTTCATTCCACAGACAATGACGTCATGCGGCAGTCGCCACCCCCTGTCTCCCTCCAACCCGGATCGGGATGAAAAATGGACTAACGGGGACGGGGTGGAGCGAGGGAGCAGGGGCCTGGCAACAGAACGTAATACGGCGCAGTCGGCCATCCGTGGCAAGCGCCTTAACGTGATGGGAAGTGGCAGGACAGAGCGAAGGGCAGCCGTGGGCCTGCAGCCACGGCCCGGGCGGTGTGGGGCCGGACGGCTGTCTGCCGCTGTGGCTGGGAGCAGCTGTGGCACAAGGGGAGGGCGGCGGGACGGGGGAGCATGTGCACATGTAGGCACTTGCATCGTCAAATACACGGAAGACGAGATACGCCCAAAAAAACAAATAAACTGACAATGGCACATGGCTGAATTACATGGAATCTACATTCTACACATCGTTATTTGTATCCGTACCAGAGCAAACATAAGCATTGTAAACATGATTTGAGCCAGAGATCGGAAATAAAATGGGCTTAATTTATTGAATCCCCGTGGGGGAGGGAGGGGTAATTGCAGCTGCACCTGAGAGCTGCCTCCTTCTGGACCAGCAAAGCTTTGCATCTGTGCTTTCTATTGTAACGTAATGACACCTCCACATTTATATACAGTGCTATTTTTTGTAGCAGGATGCAGGGTTACCCAGGTTCTATGAAAGACAGCAACATGACCATGCCTACTTCAAAACAAGCTTTTAAACAATGCCTTTAAAAAAATAATAAATAAATAAATAATGCACCTACGAGCTAACTCGGATTAATTTGGGGCAAAATGCTGGGTCAGGAACAAACGCAAAAGAGACAACAACTTCCTACCCACAACTGGATCCCCATTAAAACTCCAGTTTTACTATCGTTTGCTCAGAATGAATGCCTCAATGACATTCGGAAATCTGTGTAATGACCGCAGATACGCAAGAGACCGCAGAATACAATGGAAGGCTTGTAATGGCCTCTGTTGTAAAGGCAAATGATCTGACCAGAGACCGCTACAAAGAGGCAACACATACGCAAAACATTGAGTAAAGGTGCTTATACAGACAGCTGATTGAGCTCCTCCACTGTGGCAAAAAGGCACCTTGCGTTACACAATAACCAGCTGAGCGCTGGCAAACCAGCAGTTGCTTAATCTACGTCTGGTCTAAAGCCTGTGTTTGTACACTGGGCGAATCAAATGGAAATCACACCATCTGCACCCCACATTTTAGAGGTCCTGTCCGCTACACATCCTCATTTTGTTCAAATACCAGTTAGCAGAACAAGTAAACCCACCAATGAGAACCGCATGGGGAAATAAGAAAAAAATATATACACCCACATCTAGGAGCTAAACACAACAGATCACTCCTCTAAGTGAAAAATCACCAGGTTTCAGCAGCAAACAGCTGCTTTCAGTGGTTTGAAGAGCAAACCAATTCACACATCCATTTACACTGGAGGGGGACTCAATAATAAAAACATGATATCCCACTGTATGGACAGCAAATGGATACACCGTTGTGTTGTAAAAGTCCAGAATAGACATCTGCCATCGAAGCTTGACTAATTAAAAGAAATTGCCCCAAAATCTCTTTTTTTAGATTGATTCCATCCAGCTATCACAGCCACAGACAGAACATGGAGGTCTGGTCTTAAGGCTCTCTTACTAACGCTGATGCAATCATAACCCAGAATGTTAGCAACTGGTCCTCTGCGCCTGTTGCTCGGCCTGATTTGGGTTCAGTCTCTCACGCGTCACACCACGGGAAAGACAGAATCTGGTAAATCCGTTTCACTTCCCAAGGGTTGGCTTCAGCGTGCCCACTCACCAGTCCTTGTTTCTCAAAGTTTTTTCCCTGTACTCACCATGTGAGTATCGTTGTGATTAGAACGCCAGCTCCGGCAATAACGTGCTTATGTGAACACGAGGAAAACATTCTGCATATTCACGAGAACTATCCAAGGTCTGGGGCACGCCACCACTTACATCCGCAATGGGTTACAAGAAATACATTCAAATCTGACACAGAGCACCTCAGTTTGAGTAGGAGAATTGCTATTAAAATGACTTACCAATGCCATAGGCTTTGGCAAACAGCCACCGCAGGTTGGCAGCTATTTTGGCTCTGGCGGAATCATACATCTCCAACGGTACAACATCCATTGTGCCTTCTGAACCTCCAGCTAGCTCTACTTTTCTCCTGCTAGCGTCGCCGCCTGCGCACAAGTCGACATCCATCCTTTGAAGAGAAACACACAGGTGGAGTCTGTTATACAGAAGGATTTGCTGGCCACGAAAAAAGGCAAAACTTGAGAATGTGAACCATCTTTAATCTGCCAAGTTGTAAATCCCCACTGAAACGGACAGAGCGGTGCACTGTTCTATGAGGAGGGCTTAAATAAATCTGCAGAATAACATCCTACTGTGTTTTGTGTTTGAGTTATTTGGACAAATATTGGTTTAAGTGTTGCTTTTGACTGATTATAGTGGTCCGCTGAATTAATTGATGTTGTTTAGAGTAGGGATGCACTATATTTGTAGCGTCATATTCTTGATGACAGGGTGGAGACCCTGTATCTGCTTCACCTGCCATTTAAATACACCAAAAGTGAAGCACTGTGATTTAACACAGTCCTGGATGAAGTATCTGGTCATTATATTTTGCTCTGAAAGCCCATTTTGCACTATAAGAATGAACAAATGTAATATGATATTTGATATTGATATTTTGTTTGAAGTTACAGTGAACTACAATTATTTATTGCTGCAAATATACCATGGAAATTGTATGAGTCTTACAGCCAGCAGATAAATCACACTATTCAGAAAACAATAGCGTAAATAATCAGGATCCGAACTACTAACAGTTGTTATATTACTTCTTTTACGTCATTTTGTGTCATGTCCCCTCTCAGCCTTGCCTTGTCAGCCTTTTTCACACCTTAAGTTCCAATTATCAAACTTTGTCATTTTGTTTTGAACAGAATTTTGAATTCATTAGATCAGTATGTTCTTCTATAAGCTTTTTTTTTTTTTTTTTGCCATGACCAAGTACAAACATTTGCTTTCAATTCATCACCTGGGCTGATTTCTTCTTGTTACTTTGGAAGGAATTTTTATACAATCGTGGCTCACAGACTCATTGTCCAGTTGGCTTAAGAGAGGGAGAAAGCTCTGATGAAACGGGGATTTACAGGAAAAGCAAATGCATTTATCTGAAAGGCCAACTATAAAAAGGACAGACTGTTTTTGTTTCTGAAGAAGAGAAAATCTCAAGTCTCTCTTTTATCATTATTAGACTCTACCAGCCCTTCCCAATGAAGCATTACCAGGGAGACGTCAAATGTATCATTGCATTACTGGTACCGGTTTAATATCTCGATAATGGCTCTGCGAATTACACCTTAACGATGCCCTGTTGGCGTTGCTAAACCTGATTAACTGGCATACAAGGAACATTTCCCTAAATCTGAACTACTGAGCACGCTTGTAGGCAAATGAGGAGCGGCTAACCGTTAGCTTGCGTGTGTGTGTACAGTACAGCACCTCCACGGCATTCAGACCCACGGATGACGTTAGCTTGCTAGCAAGACGTTACCTTACCTTGAAAGGTGCGGGCTATTTCCAAGTCGCCCTTTCGTTGCCTTTGGGGGTAAACAATTATCCAAGGACCTGCCTCGTGGTACAACGGCCTGCGGTGTGGAAAATATGCCAGCCGAAGCGACGCATCATAGCCGGCTAATAATGCTAGCCGAGGGGCGAGTCTGAGTGGTCTCCTCCCAGCAACAGAACCCGATCCGCGGCCTGTGACAACCGTTCCACGGCGGACTTTCCCGTGAAACGGACGCCGAGCAAAAAAAATGAGGGGGCGTCGCCAGCGAAAAGCACAACGGGAACCCGCTCTTCAGTTCAAAAATCTATCTCTGTACAACATGTTTCGTGGCACGTAGAATACACACTCGTTTCTTTGCGGCTCGGGCTAGGCTGCGTGGACCAGCGGTGTGTTCGCGCTCTGCCCATGGAAATGTAATTTTCATTCCCAGCCTTCCTAAGTGCGGCTACTGCGCATGCGTGATTGCCTTCCAAACTGTTATCGTTAAGAGCGGCAACAGTGGGTTTTGTGGCTAACGCCTCTACCTATTCACGGACCCCCCCTCAGTCACCGACTGAATTTACAATGCACAGAAAATCACTGTGATTTTTAAATATATATAACATAAATAAGAAATAATAAAAAAATAAAATAAATATATGACGTTCACTGAGTCAGAGGATCGTCCAGGTATTTCCTTTTAATTGATCAAGGGTGACATCTAGAGGTAAAATATGGTAATAGCATATAAATCAGTGTGATCAAGAAAATTTGAAAAAAGTATTTGGAATATAGATTTGAAACATATCTTTCATCTTAAGAAAAAACATTAACACTTCAAATTGGTAAAGAAAAAAGTTGGGTGACTGTGAGGAACACAGTAAAAGCCAGTTGGATGAAACCTTGTCATTCAATTTATTATTACCTGGATGCATAATAATATTACAGAAATATAAAAGTAAAAAAGACCTGAAATATACATAAAATAAAACTAAACAAATTAGATTTAGTTAACATAGAACCAGATTCCAGCAAAAATCTTTCTATTCAAAGATACAATCTGAAAACATTGATAAGAATATAATAGAAATCAACCAATATCTCTGATGGGTATTGGTTGGGTAAATGTGTAAATCTAAATATAATCTAGATGACAACCAATGGATGATAAGATGCAAGGGATTCATATCTTTTTTCTATAGCTTTATTGAAATGTTTCACTCCTTTACAATCATTTATTCTATATTTACTGCGGGGCCATTGCACAGGGATATACTCCAGAAAGGAAATTAAGTTTGAAATTATTATGTCAGACTGAAGTAAAGAAAGTTTTACTTTGTTTACATTGTTCTTTTTTAAAGATAATGTTATTTTTGGGAAAATGCCAGTTTTAAATATGCGGAAAGGTTTCATTTTTATTCTTGGAGAAATATTCACAAACAAGTGAAGAGTAGTTAGGTTTCGCATTCTGGTGGAAAAAGTGAGAACAATTTTTTTTTATGAAAACAACCTGCTGGGTGAACACAGAGGAAGTACCAAGAAGCTCTTTAATGTTCTAAATGAGCTATCACAAAAAAGAATACATAAAAACAGGGGAAAGGCTTTAAAGAAGGAGAACAAAAGTTAAATGGAGCTTGGAAATGCTCGGAAGAAAGAGTGTGCTGTTGCTGTGGAGGAAGAAAAGTCAGCAGGTCTCAGATCTCTGAAAAGAGAAGACAAAGAGCCGTGGCTCCAGGCAGCTAAATCCCTGTAAGGCGGGAAAAAAGTGGATAATCTGACTCATTAAGAACTGCTCAATAAAATGAAGAAGCTCTCTCCCACCAGAAGACTGGTCTTCAAACATAGCTTGAATTGCTGAATCTGTCGCTCTGAGAAGATCAAGATTCAAGAGTTGTCATCTCACAAGAAAAAAAAACGCCCTCTTTGCACGTTGTCGTGTAAAAGATAGATGACTCATGGGCAAAGCATCCTCAGAGCCCCCACATGACACGGTGACACCTCAGAGAGAGAGAGGGGGGATGCTGATGTCACCCCAACGCAGCCACTCCGTTACAAACTACTGCTCCAAACCCCACAGACGCAGTCACTTTTTATTCCCAAAGAAAAATCCCTCTCAGAATCAGATGAGCATCAAAAAGCTCAAGGCAAGCAGTCGGAGGAAGGTGTTCCTAAAAGAACGGATCTGAAGTAAAGCAAAGTCTTGATTTAAAAAAAAAGAAAGACCTCTGTTTTTTAAGGAGATCAAAACATGAAAAGCACCGCTCAGAGCTTCTCCGCCGGGAAGACTTCGGCCACCAAGACGGACATCAGCTGGACGTCTGGCCGCCTCTCACCAGGAAGCTCAGGGTTCCAGGAACAGCCGACGGAGAGGTAGGCCCAAAGCAACTCTGTGACTTCTGAACATCATGGGACTCTTGTGTACATCTATATACAATTTCTTTTTAAAAAGTGATGATAAAATGCTTTGTGGAAGCTGAGTCTTGGTGGTTTATTCACAAATATCACCCAGCACTGCAGGCGGTGAGACTGTGACATCATGCACAGCTTAAATAAATAAATAAATAAATATCATGCTCATGAACTCTGATGTTTAAATTACATGTGCTCAAAGTATGACGGCACCATTTTAATATGTCAGATGTATCGCTTCAGGATGATGAGAGCAAAAGGTGGTTAAATATCCCGTGACAGACAGCTTAAACCTCATGCGGCATTCTCTCTGGTCAGATGTCCCCACGCACTGGCCGGCATGAGGGTCAGCTTCTGGGATCTGGCAATGACATCCACCTAAGCTGTGGGAGAAGTTGACCACAATTACCGAAACCTGCAGACTCCTGTGCCATAACTGTGCCATATGTGACCGTTTCTGCCTTGAAACATTGATTCTTATCCATTGCTGGGCTCCCACATTCCACTACCACACAAGTCCAAACAAAATCCAAAGAATACAGCCGCAAAAAAAATGACTTTAATTCAAGAGGGGTTGTTGATGCCAGTAGCCGAGAGGCTGCTTGAACAGTGAGCGTATTGCATAGGTTGTTGACGTGGGACAGTCCTGCTTGACGATCTGCGCCTTTTAGGAAAGAAACGCATTTCCCGTGGATGCTTTCCCCCCCTCGGGTGAAGCTGGATTTGATTCCCAAGCTTGTGATGGAGGGTGACAGAAGAGCTGAGAGGCTTCCGGAGGTGTGTAGAGCGCCCGTGTTAAACCTGTTGCACCATTTGAAATGACAGAGTAACCCACCAGTCCACAGTAAGCAAATTTGTATACGGGTTTGTAAAAACAACATTTAAAGGACCCCCCCCCCCCCTCCCCCAACATTTTGAACATCAGCTTTCATGTTTGCTAAAAATTTTATAAATAAGATCAAGTTACTAGTTTGGCTTCAATATAAATAATGTAATAAGACATATTTCACACAGACGCGTCTCTCTAAAAACAATTAAATATGTTCAAATATTGCATTTACGAAACCATGTCCTGTGGTGCCCTTATTCTTAAGCAGAGGTCCGGACAGTTTAGTTAAAGCCGTTTTTTTCAAATGCCAGAACTAGAAGGACTTGAGCCGGGGTTTGCCATCGTGACGGATTAAGAAAAAAAACAAAAACCCAAAACAATCTCAGCCTCCCTGAGCAGAAAAGTCACAACAATACTACAATTTTCAAATATTGAATAATAACACTCAAAAAAGCTTGGCAAAAAAAACACACCACCCTCCATGTCATTTTCAAACTCATGGTATAAGTGGAGGCAACGTTTCCCCTTCCCCGAAGGCTAAAACTGGACAGCCCGCCAGACGTCCACGTTTACGGGTCAAAAGAAGAGCAGCGGGTTGTTTTTGTTTGTTCTCTCTTTTTTTCTGGGGACATCCTGACGAGGCGTTTGAGTTGGGCCGTGTCTCGGCAGTTGTGGACACCCATCTTCATCGTTCAAATGTAAGGTTGTTTTTTTTTTTTAAAGGCAAAATCCTTCTGATTAGGCTCAGCTTCATTTCTCCCCCCCACCACAGAACACAGAGGCCCGTTAGTCCCTTCCTCAGCGCCCTGTGGCTGAATGGTTAGGAGACACGCAGGTTACTGCAAAACTTTCCTCAAAAAGGCGATAAAGCCACGTGTCCGTGCAGAGGACTGACCTTCTGCTCTCTGCAGTGAGAGACGGGTGGCTTACAGTGACCTCACAGGAGTGAACGGACAGAGGTAACGTGTCTGAGAGCAGAGGTTTCCACAAAAAACAAAAGAAGAAAAAACTCAACCGGTACAGAAAAAGGAAACGGGACGAAGGGAAGAAGAAAACCCTAAACGCGACAGCTCCACACATTCCCTACTGTTGAAACGTAACGATTTAAAGTGACAGACAAAACTGTAATGGATGTTTGAATATTGTAAATCATACAAAAAAAACAAAAAACAAAACAGTTTTCTTTAAAGTGTAAACATAAAATTTATGTCCGATGTCATTTCTGCACATGGAGAAATTATATAAAATAAATCAGGTCTGTCATACCTAGAAATTGTTATCGTTTAAATGTAAAAACAACATTTTAAATCTCAATGTTATATTATTACCTTAATAATAATGATAACGTCTGCTTTGTATAAGTGTTTTACTGTATTCTTATAAATAGTGTAACATCTTATTTCATTCTTTGACTCCTCTGGCTTTGTTTTTCGAAGACAAAAAAAAAAAAAACTCTATACTCATGTCTGCCACAAACAAACATCCATACACACTTATCCCAGTATGTCCATACACACACGCATACACACAAGCTGCCACAGTCACGCGGGGGGTCACCAGGAGGCTCTATGTTCGATTGAGAGTCTGGAAGATTCTAGATATTTGGAGCATGACGGGGCCGGTCTCGGGGTCGTTCATCCACTGGGTGCTATTCAGAGGATTCTCCAGCATGTCTTCAAATGCTGTGCAAAAAAAACACAATGCACACTCATCAGAAGTAGGAATTACAACTTCTTTTTTTTTGGGGGGTCCTGATTTTGTGGTTTGGAAAAAAAAAAAAACACAAATCATCCATTTAATCTCAGATAGAATCTAAAGCTTGCTTAAAATGTCACAAATCCATTGATCACAGAGCAGTGTTCTTCTCTTTCCTTCACATGATTGAGTCACTGGTTACATGTTTGGTGTCGTTGCTCTGATGATACAGAACTGGAGTGATGTTTAGTAACACTGTGCACGCCTGGAGGCCACCACAGGGATGGCATTACACTGTAAGCGGCAGCATGGTTTTGGATATTCTGTCTGTCTTGCTTCACTGTGGTCTGTAAAAGCTTGTTTTTTCCCCCATAAAGAGTTGATAAGGTTAAAAACTAAACAGAGAAAGTAGATTAAAAACACTTTTTGATGTCAAACATTAAGAATAACCGATTTTCCTGACTATCCCGCGACATCAGATGGGACGTTACCTAGCAACGTTTTGGGATTGGTTAAACCCAGCTGGACGACCGGGTTTTCCAGGATGGCCTGGAACAGGGGGCTGTTGGTGTCGATGCCTTTATCCAGGTCCTCTGGTGAAGGTTTCCTGTCTCCCAGCAGCCACTCGCACTAAAAGAATGAAAGAGTACGAGCGCAAATCAACATGCAGTGTGTTGTTGGTCACCTGCGGTTGGTTTTTACTGACTTCTCACAACAGGGAGGGACAAGAAGCTGGCCTGTTAACACATGAGGCAACTTTTCTTTGCCAAAAGGAGCAAAATAAAGCTTTAAAAACGTATTTGGAGAAACAGGAGTGGGCAGCCTTGCCTGAGCTGAACCATACTGTCATTGTGGCTACGGAGACACTCGCTTTCTCTCACAGCTTTCTCCCTGCAGCCTCATAGCCTACGTTCTGTTATGGCCTTTGTGTTGTGGAGGGACGATGTTGAGGGCATCAGCCCACCGGCAGTGACTGTAATAAAGCTCTCGGTTTACCTACCGCAGCGTCCTGCTGGTTGTTGTTCACTCTCAGGGCGTCGATCACCTCCTTTTCGTCAAAGCCCATCTCCATCAATGCAATGACAGCCTACAAATACAAATATTTAGATTTTTTTTTTTAACTGTATGCTGAAGAAGTGGTGGTTTAGACAGGAAATTAAAACCAGAATGAATAAGAGGAGGAGAGCTTAAATATAGGAATAGAGAGTAAAAACCGCGCACCCGCGAGTCTGGTCTGAACTCCCTTTTCCTGCGGATCCTCTTGAAGATCTCGGTGAGCTCGTCCTGTCTGCTGCTGCTCTCCTCTGTGCTGGACTGGCTGCGCAGGAGGTTGGCGCCCGAGCTGGAGGCCCCGGAGGCCCCAGAGGCCCCGGCCGCCGCAGGGGCCGCTGTGGCCCCCGCTGGCCCTGAAGCGTCCTGGCCAGGAATCGGCGCGTCCACAGAGGGGTCGTCCACATGTTCGATCAGCCACTCCATGGCCTGGGTCACCGACATGCTGTGGGGGGGGGGGGGG